ATATTTTCTTATTAAGTTAGCAGATAATATATAGCCTGAATATTGCAGTCAAAAGAGGATAGCACTTTGTCTGTGTAAGACGATGTCTATAGAGGAGGGTCACAAGTCACAGAAAATGTCATCGCATATCCAACCGCGAATGTAAAGGGCTCCAAATTTATTTTTTTGCCTAGGGCCCCATATGTGCTTGAACTGGCCCTGGAACAGCCGATTCAGCGTCGAGTATCTGACGAAAGCTCGGTATTTCACGGTGCGTATGTCGGAGTGGCGCTTCTCGGTTAGGGTGGAGATTTTATCGGCGTACTTCGCGCCTTTGGAGACGTGATGCTGGAACCTCCGGCGGAGGTTCGAGATAAGTGCGGCGGTGGTGGTGGTGGTACTGGTCAGGGCGGCGGCGGCGGGGTTAGTGGTCTTTGTCAGGGCGGTGACGGATCTGGGAAGCTGCGCCAGATGTTCCACTGATTTGATCTTCTTCCCCCCGTTGTTTTTTGTTGTTGTTGTTGTTGTTGTTATCGGAGCGTTGGTCGAAAACTTTTTACACTTTTAAATTGGGGAATTATTTAATAACCCCCATTTTCATATCACAAAGTTACTCAGTTTTCCATTTCTACTGCATGTGTTTTGAAATTAATTTTATAGATGTAAGAATTGGTCTGTCTTTTCTCTGGACATTAGTATGCATTGTTTTAAAGTAAAAAGAATGGTAATTTACATTTTCTTCACCCGGCTGTCAACCCGCCCGCCAATTGCCAAACCCGACCAGCCCGAACCGTGTCGGGTCGGGTTATTTTTTTGCCCAAACCCGCCCGTGTTCACCCCTAAATTATGAACAGTAATATTTGGTAAAATAATTTGGTGAAAAAGAAGGACCGTAATTAACATTTTCGCAGCTTGTGGTTTGCTCCGTCAAAAATTCAATAAACACCTAACTACAATTTTCTAAAAACTTATGGTCAACTCTTATTTTAAGAGTTGACTTCATAAGTCAACTCTTATTTTGAGGCTCACATGTCATAGATCACGTCCAAAAAATATTGGGTTATTATTAGCTGTCTAAAAAATAGGGCAAAATACACTTTACCCCCTTGTACTATGTCCTATGTAACACTTACTCCCTGTACTATGAAAAATACATTTACCCCCCTATTTTAATGGTCAACCTATTTGACTCTTAACGGTGTTCGTAGTAAAATAAATTTAATATATTTTTATTCTTACTAAACGACACATTTTCTTTACTTCAAAAAATATTACATGTACTACGAAAATATTAAATAAATATTTAAGATAGCAATTCTTTTTTAAAATTCGGATTAAATATAATTTACTTGTTAAATATTTATTTTAAAAAATTAATATTTAAACAGTATAATTTTTCATGTATTATTTTATACAACCAAGTAGCAAGTATATTTTTTCATATTCTGAGTTAAATTATTTAACTCGTTAAACATTGTGTACATTGAATTTTAACATTTATTTGTAACATTAAATTTCGTATAGTTAATCCTAAATGTAAAAGGCTTAAATGAAATTTGATGTTACAAATAAATAAAATAAATTATTAGCATATATCGTTAAAAAAAACACTACCATAGAATTACAATTTTTAATATAAATATCTAATGATTAAATATTTTAATCCTATATGTAAAATTTTATACATGTTAAATACTTATTTAATATAATTATCCACAATAAATTTTTTTTTAATAAAAATTAGGTGTCCTTTCTTATGAATTATTAAAAAATATATTGAATTGAAAAAGTAATAATATTTTTCTTATTTAAATTTAAAAAATATTATTATCTTAAATATTTATTTAATTTATTCATAGTACATATATTATGTTTTTTAAATAAAAAATTTGTATATTTAGTAAGAATTAAAAATATATTAAAATTTATTTTTACTACTAACACCGTTAAGAAGTCGATTAGGTTGACCATTGGAATAGGGGGGTAAGTGTATTTCCCAGGGTTTCACCAGGTTTCCGAGTTACATAAGGTATAGTACAAGGGGTAAAGTGTATTTTGCCCTAAAAAATAAGCATAGATGCTATTTGCTAACTTTTTTATGATAAAGAGAAATTGCATATATAGTTATGAGTTTCGTAAGGATAGTAAATGCAATTCACTCTAACTAAAAATGTAATCTGTATTATTTAATTGCAAATATCAAACCATCGATAGGATATGCATCATCTATATTAAAATGCAAATAGCAAACTAAAAATAACATATGCATTATATAATTGCAAACAACAAATTGAACAATAGGATATACTATATACATCATCTATATGCGAACAATAACAACAAAAAACTCTCATGTTACAAATTGCAATTTTTAGCAGTCTATTTCATGTTGCTAATTTATTTTGCATTTCAATTTATTTTTATTGTTTGCAGAATGAAAATTAATTAACAAATGCAAAAAAAATGTAAGTTTACATAGAAATAAAAACTAGGAGAGACAGAAGAGAGAGGAGATATGGCATGTATGTTAACTGGAGAAGATGGGTTTTGATTTGGAATAAAAAGTAATAAAATAGGTTTTAAATTTGAATTTGAGGGTTTGAATTTGAATTTGAGGGTTGTGAATGTTGTGGGTTTTTATAAAATTAAGGGTTTTCAATGAATTACAAGCCAATTGAACTACAAGCCAGATACTAGGAGCCGTAAGATACAACAATCGTTTGTTTTCTTATAAAAAAAATCGAGAACTTTTGAGCAAAAGCAGTTAACACAAAACCAGATGATTAAGATATATACTAATTGGCCCACAAACTTATTTCAAGGAAAGATAAACTGATACATTGCACCAAAAGGCGAAAGCCCTCGCCCCCAGGGCCCCCATCCCTTGGCCCGACAAGGATTGATGGAGGAATGTAAATCATGGTAACTCAACGGCCCGTTAAGGTAGCGGACCCGGACCTGGTGCCCACAAGGAACCAACTCATTGGAGTTGAAATTCCCACACTGGGGCTGCTAGGATTCGATCCTAGGACCTTGCACCAACTTACCACCTCCGGAACCAGTTGAGCTACACCCATGCGGGCAGATAAACTGATACATGAACATATTAATATGTTACCAATTTTATAATTAAGTTTTTAGTTTAATTAGAATGGGTGTTTATATAATTTTACTTGTAATTCAGGGTTCGTACTATTTTTTACAGGGTATGTACTGATCTTACGTGACACATTTTTTGGTTGATTACAGTCCGGGAAGTGCAACCCTTTCGTACCCTAGACAACCCAAAACGATATCATAAAATGTATTTTAAGTTCGTCATATTCACTGTTATCGTACTGAAAAACGAGCTTTCAACGATCAATATCTTGAATTATTTCACACACACACGTATATAACAAATTATAATCAATAACTGTATACAATGTATAAAAAATTGAAAATGGATCTCCAAAACAAATTACACAAAATCCAAAACCTACAGGAGATGCATCTTCCTTCCAGTAGTAGTTTTTCTTTACGTTTCCTTTTTAAATCAATTCATCAAAGAAAAAAAAAATCGTTACAACCAATGCAAACATTTTTTGATTCTCAATCAAAGAACCACAAGAATAAACCAACCAAAACAAAAAGAAAAAGAAAAAGAAAAAGACGAATTTTCATGAAACACGATTTCATTCTTCACCGGTATAATCGAAACTCCACCGACAAAGCTCCTCAATCTTGGTCGCCACCTCAGACATGGACGGGCGCTTATCGGGGTACGATTCAGTGCAGTCGACTCCAATCTGCAAAAGCCGGACCATATCCTCCTCCACATTCTGGTATCTCAGCAGCTCAGCATCGAACACCTCAGAGGTCCACGCATCCTTTACCACGGACCTCACCCAAAGCGGCAGATCGAAGCCATCTTCCCCCACCACGGGAGATTTCCCGGTCAGCATTTCGAGCACCAACACTCCGAAGCTGTATACATCTGCCTTTTGGGACACCCTCTGAGGGTCGGTGACCTCGGGGGCCCGGTACCCCTCGACCCGGCTTGGGCCCAATGCGGACCCGGGCCGGGCCATACGGGCCAGGAGGAAGTCGGAGACGCGTGGCTCGTATTTTTTGGTGAGGAGGATGTTGGACGATTTTATGTTGCCGTGGGAAATTGACGGGCCGTGCGAGTGGAGGTAGGAGATTCCTTGTGCGGCACCGAGGGCGATCGAGGCTCTTGTTTCCCAATTTAATGGTGTTCTTCTTTCTCCCTTGTTTCCTACAACATTTAAAAAAAATATACATAAGACTAAATTACCCTTCCCACTAAAATTGAGTGCAGTAAGGATGAAATTGCGAAGAAGTTAGGTAATGCGTCGTTGGAATTCTAAAGTGAACAGATAATATAGAGGAAAAATAAGTCCACTTAAGACGTGAAATTCAATCATTTTGCCTTCAAAAACAAAACCATTCGGGCGATGAAATAAACTCGATTTCTATAAAGAATTGTTTGCTAATACGTCGAAATTTCACAATTATTGAATATATAGCAACATAACGGGACAAGTATCGAGCACCGCGATACTTATGTGACAAAAATGAAAACACACTAGACGAAAAGATAGCGATGGTTATAGCAAGTGCAAGACAAAATGTTCGGTCTGATTTACGAGATGATTCGAATCAAGATAAGCACTACGAGACGAAAAAACAAGAAGCAAATCATATCCAGTTGCATTTCTCTTACGGCACTCTTCGGAAAAAAAAAGTGCGTTGCAATCTCGAGAATCATTCAAAAGTCAAAACCACAATTGCATATATAACAAAGCCAAAATGTCTATTGTAACATGCCATTCAAACCTCAATTTCGTATAACATAGCACAAACGAACGAACTAACTAAATTCGATATTGCAATAAATCTAAACATCCCAACAAAAATTAAGCATTCGAGCAATTAAACGAAATAAAAAAACATAAAATAAAAAAAAGAAATCCTCACCATGCAACAATGCGGATAAGCTCCCCATCGGCAAGTAATCGTAAACGAGAAGCTTCTCGTCCCTATTGTAATAATAAGCTTTCAAAGGCACCAAATTCTGATGATCCATTCTCCCGATTTCGTCCATCTTTGCCCTAAACTCCATCTCCGCCATATTAACATCCCTCAGCCGCTTCACCACCACCGCCAACCCCGCGTCGAGTGCCGCCTTGTACGTCGTTCCGAAAGTGCCCCTGCCCAAAACCTCGGCCGATGCCTTCAAAAGATCCTCCAATGTAAACTCCCATTTCGTCTTTCCGAAGAAAACCAGCCTCTTCTTCTTACCACCATCTTCCCCTCCTCCGCCTTTTTGTCTCTCCCTTGCCGCCGCCGCAACACCGCCAGTCGTCGCCACCGTTTTCTCTCGGCGAGTAGTTGGGAGTCCGGTTTTCTTCTTAGCCCCTTTGCCTTTACCACACAAACAGCATATAAGCATTACGATCAAGAAAACTCCGAGGACGGAGCAGATTACGATTCCGGTGATTGCCCAGCCGGAGAGTTTTTTGTCGGGTTTTTTCCGGTCGGGGGGCGGGTTTCCGGGTACGGATGGGGTTTCGTCGACGGAGCACGAATCCAATGGTGCACCACAGAGTGAATTTCCGGCGAACGAGTTTTTCGGTTTTCCGGCGAGGCCTTTGGGGATTTGGCCGGTGAGATTGTTGTTGGAGATGTTGAACAAAGATAAACCGGGCAGGTTTAGGTCCGGAACCGGGCCCGAGAAGTGATTATTCTGCAAGTAAAGGGTCCGCAAACGGGTCAAATTGTTGAAAGAAGGTGAAATCGGGCCGGATAAATTGTTCGACGCCAATTCTAGGTTGATGAGGGCGGTGAGAGAGAATAAAGAATCGGGGATTCCGCCGCTGAAGAGATTGTTCTGTAGAGAGAGAGTGTGGAGGGAAGTGAGAGAGGAGAATAGCTCCGCCGGGAGCGGGCCGGAGAGCTGGTTCGCGCGGAGGCTGAGCGCCTGTAGATTCGTGAGTCGGGAGATGGTGTTCGGCGGAATTCGGCCGGAGATACTCTTTCCGGGGAGGCGGAGCGCGATGACGGCGGAGCCGTCCGGCGAACAGGTGACGCCGTTCCATGAGCAGGGGGTGGGGCTGGAGAGGTTCCAGAAGGGGAGGCGTGCGCGCACGGCGGAGCGGAAGGATAGAAGGGCGGAGCGGTCGGAGGATATGTCCGGCGCGGCGGAGGGGAGGCGGAGGAGGAGAAGGGCGGCCGTTAAGAGGAGGAGGTGGTGGAAATTCAACCACCCCATTTTCAAGAATGAGAAATCAACAACAAAAGATTACAACTAGCAACAATATAATTTTTCTCTTTCCTGAGGAATTTTAGGGAAGGTGTTTTGTATTTTGAGTGGATTTCACGTCGTTTTTTTCTTTTCTTTATTTTTTTCTTTTCTTTTTTTGCTCTGTTTCTTGTCTGAGTCTTACACTGTCATGTCTATAGAGAGAGAGAGAGAGAGAGGAAGAATTCTGTGTAACAGGATTTGGTCTTTTGTTGTATTATTAAAATTCAATTTATTAAAGTAATCCAATGGAAAATACCATGTTATTGTTACTTGCCTATGTTGGTACCACCTTCCTGATATGCTTTTATCGGTGTTCTAAAAATTAATCGAAATAGTCGATTAACCGTTCTCCGAGATGGAGATAGTGTAAAACTTTTACGATTTTAGTCTACATAATTGAAAAATTGTTTTTTTGTCTATTAGATGGTTTTAGGCTGTTAAAGGCAGTCAAACATTGGAGGCGGGTCAAACATTGATTGCAAAAATCTGAGTTTTTTTTTAAATAAATTAAGTTGGGGTTTAATAAAAAATTTGAGTTTATTTTTTTATTTTTTTTATTAATGTTAATTTTTTTTTAAATGGCCTAATGATATATATGCTTGCAATGTTCAAGTATAATTTTGGATTTACAAGATTTTCGTTTTATTTTTATTTTGTAAGGATTTTTATTATATTATAACCTTATTATTATTATTAAAATTTTATTATATGATTAAGATATATAAATGATGTGGATAAAATTATGATTAAATATATTTATATATATATATATATATATATATATATATATATATATATATATATATATATATATATATTTTGTGTATTTACAAATAATATATTAAATTTAAAAAAAAATCGATTTATTTCTGATTTATCAACGAGTAATCACAGCCGCATCGGTTAATGTGAGGCGGTGCCTAACGGACTCGGGTCCAATTTCCGCCTTTTACAATCTTAGATTTTATTATTAGGGCAAATTACGAAGGGCTACCGAAATAGAGTCTAATTATGAAAAAAATCGTTCATGTTTGCATTATTACAAGTACTCTTGAGATATTCTCCGTCTAACAATTTTACCCTCGTTAATAATAAAGGAATCAAGTAGATTCAATGGAATATTTAATTTTTAATGACCATAGTACCCTTAGAAATCTAACTGTAAGGTTTGAGAAACAGTTGTAGTTTTTTTAAAACTTTTTTTGCTTATTGTTAACAAGCCCTTATAAGGGTTTATGTCTAAGGTTTTATATTGCATGAAGGGTAAATTTAGGAAAATCAAAAAGTTGAATTGATGAACTTTTTTTCTATTTCATTTAATTATTTTAACACCTAAGTATTTTAGACAATTACTACCAATGTTTTGAAAACCGGACCGGACATCGACTCGGTAAAGCTACCGGGTCACGGTTGGACCGGTTCAACCGGGGTCCAACCGGATTTCTTACATTTTTTATATATATAATTATTTTATTTATTTAATACCTCAAATATAATATATTATATATTTTTATATTTTATTCCACTTTCATTATCACTTTATAAAAAAGAATTAATAATTATTAATTTTCTCACTCCTCTCTCTCTCCCCCCCTCTTCCTCTCTCTCTCTCTCTCTCCCCCCCTCTTCTTTTTTCTTTCTTCCTCCACTTTTCACGAACAGAGCACAATCCCCAATTCCCATCCCCTTCTCTTCTTCCTTCCTTCTTTTCTTCTCTTCGTCCTTGTTTATTCTTAATTCTTCTCATTTCTACCCAAACATATACTTTATTTCTCCACTTATTTTTTCATTTTTTCTCTTCATTTTCACTTTCACCTTTTTCGTTTTCTTTTCTTTGGTGGATAGCTATGGCAGCTACACTTGGATTGGGTCACATACTACCTAAATCCGTTCACCAGCAACCATTTCCGACAAGATTCAATAACCCACGACGTAGATCCGACGATAAATTTTTTTGTGAGCTAAAAACCGGTTTTCGGGTTGGTTTCGGGTTACCCGGTTCATACCGGTTGAACCGGATTTTTGGTGGTTGACCCGGTTTTTTGAGCATTTTGGGTTTTGACATCTAACCGGACCGGACATGGCGGCGGTTCGCGGTTGAACCGGTCGGACCGGCCGGTCCGGTCCGGTTTTCAAAACATTGATTACTACATTATTTTAGAATTCTTGCAGCACGTTAGTTTCGGGGTGGTCGTAACTATGCAAACAGAGTAGGTCTTTTTATAAATACACCTAACCTTAGGGGGTCCTTATAATTTTCCCTTGTTATTATGTCATTTCTAATTTGGTTTTGTTTCCTTTTGCCATTTTTCTGTGAAAAAAAGGATTTCAATAAGTAGAAAAGGAAAATAATTGTAATTTAGACATATAAATATGATAATAAATGTGTAAATTTATGGTGCATTATAACTAGATGTATTCCAAATATTATGAGTATATAATCACTATATCATAAATTGAAAAATATATACTCACTTGTTTGTTCATGAAAGAATCTGACAACATTTTGAAAATACAAATATTGATTCAGATATAGTAAACCACATTTGATATTTACAAGGTAATTAGATGGGTCAATTTTATCCCAAATTGATCAATTTATCACATAAATTATAAACAATTTATAAGAAAATGTTATAATTTTTAATTTTAGTTACTTTTATGAATTGAAATGTTTTATCTATTAACATTTATTGGAAAAAGAAAGCATATTCGATAAATAAAGTTGGTTGTCAATTATTATTCGACCAGTCGAAATTGGATCAATAATAATTTTGAATAATTGTTAATCTCGATTGTAAAATGATAATCAACAGACCCGACAAATGAACATCCGGGATGTTTACTATTGTTTTACGCCGTTTGTAAAAGATATTCATGTCAATCAAGGTTTTTGTAAGTTGTAATTCAACATAAACAAGTTAAAATCTCAAAAAGTATAAGAATGAAGAAAATTTTAATCTTTTATTTAATTTAGCAACCCTTATCGAAATTGATGAAGTAATTAATAAAGAATGTGTGATCAATATTAATCTAATTACTCTCATATTTGTTATATACACAGTAGAACCTCTATAAATTAATAAACCTCGTTTAATAATAAATTCTTCCGATCCCTATTTTATGAGAACGTACTAAATTATTAACTTGATGGTTTAATATTTCATTAAATTAATATAATTTCTCTAATCATGAACATATGAATTTATAGAGATTTAAATGTAAGTAATTTGGAATACATCTAGTTATAATACTCATAAATTTGGAATACATCTAGTTAGCAACCATATTGATATATTTCTAATGATATATTATAACTTAGAGATTATATTAATTTAATGAAATATTATGAGTATTCCAAATTTATGAATAAGAAATAAATAAATAACGGAAAAACTATTTAGAGTTAGCAACCATATTGATATATTTCTATAACCTAATACGCGGGATTTTCAGGTTCAACGAAAAAATAATTAAATTTTATAAATAAGATGAAGCAAGAGATTTTGGTTGACTTAGTATTTGTGCTTTGTTTGGAAGCTGGATTTTCAATATTTTTTCAGTCCAAATTGAATTAAGGTTTCTCTTTCATGTTTATGCTACATATATGTAACTAATATATTCTTTTTTTATGTCAAGATGTATACTAATAAATAAATAATAGATATATTTTTAATCAAGTAAATTAATTTCGAAATTGTGTGTGTGTGTGTGTGAAGTATCTGAGCAACCACATTGATTGAAATTTTCATGTGTCATTTATTACTTGGTGGGTGGGCATTTATTCAATGTCAACCTCATTAATTTGAATCAAATTGCAGGTAATTCTGTATTAACTTGATTTTTTTCTCTCTTTCATTTTTTTCATAACCAAAATAAACAAATTATTGCAGGGGCCTCGTTAAAAAACCTTTTTCTGGCCAACATTTTATTGTTCAAACTTACCCTTTATATTTTAATTTTAATGTAAAAAGGTGTTAAGTGTATATTTTTACACTTTATCGTATCTTTTTATTTGAGCTTTTGGTGTGTTTTAACGATAATTGGTGCTTAAAAAGTTGATTTATTGTATTTCAGGTATAAATTGAAAAATTGGAAAAGTATGGGGTCAAAACTGCAATTTTGGAGAAAATATGGGCCAAAAGTGAAAAAAGCAGAATTCTGGAGAATCAAGGACCGCGCGGCCGTGCGGATTTTAGGCATAAATCTCACACGGCCGTCCGGATGGGCGAGTTGGCGCAGTGAAGGAATCTTAATTGTACAAGGAAACTGCCTTCTTCCCCAAGTTCTTCACCCTATATAAGACCAATCCAAGCACACAATTAGGGATCTTTTTACGCAATTTCAAGAGCAACAAAGCAATAACGAAGACGAAGAATTCGAAGACTCCAAGCAAAGATTTATCGTCTATGATTTATTTTATTTGCGTTTTTTGATTTAATTATGAGTAGCTAAACTACTTATTTCTAGGATTTTATTTGGAACCCTATGTGGGATTTATGAACCCAATTCTATGATTTTATGCAAGTTTTAATTCCGGATTATTTCTTCTACTTGTTTTATTAAGTGCATGAACTTGATCAACTTATGTGCTTTTATGTTATTTTTAGTCGCATGAATCGGAAGATCGGGTTAATAATTAGAACTGTGGTAGAAGAGCCTTTGTGGTATTAACATAGGAATATAGTTAATCTCTTAGGTAGCCATTATTGAGATTTGTGCTTAAAGCTGTGTTCTAGAATTAATTGCATAGGAATATAGTAATTGAATCTAGAGTATTAGAATTGTAATACACGCGGAAGCGGGTTATGATTATTTTAGCATCTCAGGTTAATAATCCGGGTTAATTGCTTGCATAATTAAAGGAATTGGGGGAATAATAATCACATAGGGGGAAGAATAAAATCCTAGGCTTGTCTACTTTGATTAATCTTCGTTTTTAATTGCTTTCGTGTTCTTGTCTTTTTAATTTGCTTTTTAATTTAGTTTAATTTAGTTATTTCTCCTTAAAGTCGACTGTGTAGGGTGGGCTTGATAATAATTGGTAGAATTTAGCGTCTAGGATTAGATAATTAAATATTCCCTGTGGGTTCGATATCCGGACTTAATTGTCCACTATATTACTTGTACGATACGTGCACTTGCGTGTAGGTTTTCGCCCAACAAGTTTTTGGCGCCGTTGCCGGGGAATATTTTAATTATTTATTTTATTCTAGCTCTAGATTTGAACAATTTTCACGATTCACCCATTTAATTTTTGTTTTATTTTATTTTTGTTTTAGGTACGGTGTATGCCTAGGAGACTCGATCGTGCTAGAGAACCGTTTGATCCTGAAATCGAACGCACTTTTC